AGGCACCAGAGATGAGACTGGGACTCTTTCACGCTCAGCGACAGCTACAGAAGTGGACCTGACACAAAGTTTCCCAGTCACCAAGCCACGAGTACGGCAGCTTTCCACTGTCGAAGGCGAGTCCAGCAGCAAGATGAAGCGCGTCACATCCTTGCCCAATATGACGGGGCTCGATGAAACGCTCTTTTACAAACAGATGGGTGTCGTCCCTCGTGAGCTCAGGAATGGCAAGAATGTCAAGCCTGCCGACAACATCAAACTTCTGCCCGAGTCTCATCAGCTATTGCGCGGTAAGGTCGTCTACTTCTATCCCAACGACGATGTCAGCATGGTACGGCGGAATCGCATTCACAAGGTGATACAGCTCGGGGCAGCCTGGGTGAATAAATGGCGAGACGATGTTACACATGTACTGGTCGATGATGTAAACCACACATATACACAGTTGCTACGACATCTTAATCGAGCAGGCTTCCCAGTGCGTTGACTCTGAATGCTCTTGCAACCATGCTGACAAGAAGCAGAAGAACGTAGTGTTGGCCAGGTTTGACCCGTATGTTGTCAGCTCCTAGTTGAAGACGACACTGCTGATAAAGAGCAGGTACATACCGCAATGCATACAGTTCGGCACACTCATGGATCCATCTGCTGCACGGTTCAGCGTCAAAGGTGCCCCTCAACGCACACCGACAAGTCAAGTGGCAGACACACCGGTGCCCGAGGCGTCAGGCGAGTCACAGAGGTCACTACAGATCAAGCCCACGCGGAAGCAGAGAGACGCTGTGCCGTCTCAGAAAACGGATTCTGTCCCGACGGAAGGCACACTGAGCCAGGCCCAGAAGATCGCAGAGACTCCGATGCAAGAACGGGTCGAAGACAGCTTCGTGATGCCTTCGTCAGGACCTGGCGAGGAGCTTGCTGAGCCCATAGTCCCTGATGCAGCGCTTGGAGACGAGCTACTGCAGGCGATACGAGAAGCGAAAGCAATTGCGCACCTTCCTATCGACGACGACGATGAAGAAGGGTCTCCGACTCCGAGCGTCATTGGTATGGACGGTGCTGACCCGGGTACTGACGAAGAACCTCTGGAGATGCCTACAAAACTGCGCAAGAAAGATCATGCAAACGAGGGGTCTGGGTCTACCCGATCAACGAAGAAAGGCTTTGACCAGAGCGGCTTTCAATGTATGGATCCAAGCACCGGTGGGTACAACTCTCAGAATCCCAATGTATGCACCATTCAGATTCTTGAAGAGATGGGCAGACACTATGACCAGATGCAAGACACATGGCGCACCCTCGCCTACCGGCGCGGCGTCACCACACTGACGAAGCAGACCACAAAGATCAGCACCGCAAAGCAGGCTGCAGCGTTGCCTTTCATCGGTCACAGGCTGGCAGCGAAGATCGAAGAGATCGTGCTCACTAATCGCTTGCGCAAATTAGACAACACAAAAGAAGACCCCCTCGACCAAGTCCTGCGTCTCTTCCTCGGCGTCTACGGCTGCGGCCTCGTGCAAGCCAACAGGTGGATCCAAGCCGGGCACCGCACGCTGTCCGACCTGCTCACAAAAGCCAAGCTCACCGACAGTCAAAAGATTGGCATCGAGCACTACTCCGACTTCAACAGTCGCATCCCACGCGCCGAAGTCGCCGCCCACGGCGCCGTCGTAATCAAAGCCTTGGAAAATATCGACAAGAGTTTCGAAGCCACAGTCATGGGTTCCTACCGCCGCGGCGCAAAGGACTCAGGCGACATCGACATGATCATCACGCACCCCAGCGCTTCGCTCGCACAGATCCGCAGCATGGTATTCGACACCCTTGTTCCCGCGCTGTTCAGACAGGGGTTCCTCAAAGCCAGTCTCGCAACTATACGGAAGCACGACGCCAGCGGCACGAAGTGGCACGGCGCGTCGTGCCTGCCTAGGAGTACGGTTTGGCGGAGAATGGACTTCCTGGTTGTGCCGGAAGCTGAGATGGGTGCTGCGTTGATTTACTTCACGGGCAATGATGTTTTCAATCGCAGTATGCGGCTGCTGGCAAGGAAGAAGGGGATGAGACTTAATCAGAAGGGGCTTTACAGGGATGTTAGGAGGGGGAGGGGCGGCGAGAAGTTGAATGAGGGAACACTGGTGGAGGGCAGGAGTGAGAGGAGGATTTTTGAGGTGCTTGGGGTGCCGTGGAGGGAGCCTCATGAGCGCCTCTGTTGAGGTGGACTGTCGAGAGACTCGTGACAGCAGAGCCGCAACATTTTCCCAAGGACTAGAGAGACGTTCCAAGCGAAATTTGTACATCCCACACGTGGGGCCGAGTAGGCTGTCGCGTCACAGCAAGGTTGGCATACATAGAGACGCTACACAGGTGTAACGCCGTGTCGCGACTACAGTACTTGCAGAGCCTCATGCACTTCTACAATCGCGTAATTCAACGGGAGGTCAGATTGATAGCTGCATATGTGACCATTCGCGACCGGCTATTGTTGACGTAGCCCATCCGCTAATATGTAGCAGTGCAAGATCTCGCAAACGCCTTATATTCCCTGATGTAAGGTTGAGTTTACGCACTTAGAGGCGTTTACGTAGGGCAGTCAGCCAGAAGACTCCTGCCATATCGGCCCATGATCTGGATGGGCATTGGGCGGCGCAAATGCTACGGAAGGAGCTTCTGCAGGCGTCCCATTGTCTCGTCCATGGAGTGACGCCTGCTGTCGGATCTGTGCTGCTATCTTCAGACAGGTGCATCTTTTACTAGCTCTGTAATTTCTCGCCATTGACTGTGCAGGGGTGTGACCACGAGACTGGTCGTCATTCCAACATTCGTTGATCCTCCTTTACAATTTGGCTGGTTGCCACTCATCAATGTAAAGACCATTTATTTCTGCAAATCGCCTTGTAGACGTGCGTTTAGGAGAGTCTGTTACAACTTCTCTGTCGTCGCTCGTGAGGGAGATTGATTTGTTGCGGAATAAGCAACATCAATGAAACCTCCCCCAAAGACTGAATAGCAGAAGGGCTGCTAGACTATTGAAAATTGCTCCACTTCCTCTCAGGCCTTGTTGGTATCTGCCTCTCTTACTAGGCCTGGATTGAAAGATCCGCTCAAATCGCCAGACTTGATCAATCTTCGATGCAGAGAGTATCGAGTAAGAGACGGCACAAGAGGTATGCCGACAAAGACATATGCGCTGTCGACCTTACGCGGTATTGCTGGTAACATGTTCGCGAGATAGCCTCTTATGGCCAGCAGCACCAGCACATCTCCTTCTTGCATAGCGTCGGGCCCGAGACCAGTACTTCCATCCTCCAACTGAGATATAATGAAGCGTATTCGTCTGATCGAAACGCAGAAGGATTGTAACATCTCCACGATCGGAGGTTGATTTTCCACATAGTCCAAGAAATTGTCCTGGCAGTGGGTCGTAGGACCCATCAAACGGTGAAGAAGATTTCTTGCCAGCCACTTGTAATCGAGATCACGTTTCGAGATGTATTGACCGTCCGCACGGCCTTTCCAGCCCTGATGCATGTCCCAGTAGATACCACTAGCCATCATACCAATGTAGTCTGTTTCCAGTTCGCAATATCCGGGCAAACGGTTGAGTGGTCTGATGTTGCTTGTCCAGAACGAGCAAATACATTCGTTGATGGCGAAAGGATCACGGACATCCAGATTGTGGTCCATCACACAGCGTACCATCGATCGTTCGATGCCTGAAAGCCAAATCTGTCCTTTGTGAAGTTCTACCCGTGGGCATGGGACCTGGGCGATGTCGTGAGGGTGAATTTCTCTCCACGCATCGGGCAAGGGCTCTGTATCATCTTTCAATTTCCAATCAGGCACCCATGAGGGAGGATGCAGGTGTTCTATTCCGGTCGAAAATGACATACAGCAAGATGTTTGCCAGGCTATCTTTCTTGATGCGTTGACAAGCGAAGTCGATGTAGATGTCCTCGACGTCTTTCGAGTAATCTTGCATTCATGATCGCCCCAGACGTAGAATAGCGCTTCGTGGACGTCCACGTCCTTGGCGCCCAGCCCTCCCGGTTGTGTTTGATTGACCTATGTACATTGCGATCACCAGAGGACGTGAAGGTCCTTGCAGCGAGAGGTGTTGCTCGTTTCCACGGCTCGGCCAAATCCGCAGCGTTCTCATAATGCTCTGGTCCCAGATCGGTGTGAACAATTTCCCTTTCATTGGATCTCCGATATTCCCAAGCCAAGTCTGAAGACTCGGATTGAGGTGGCTGTCTCGAGCGGCTGATAAATATAGGTATCATGGGGTTTACTCGCCTCCCCTGCTCTTGTGTCTGTGTCTGGCATCTGGTCGTACTGGTCAGGGCGTCTTCAACGGCTGAATTGTGTATGTTTCGTTCACGACTTTAAGAAATGACATAGCTATTGGCAATCGTGTCTGTACCAGGGCGAAATCCATAGAAGCGCAGCAGGAGTGATATCAAGTCCAGCCTGACACATGACGCAGGCTGTGCATGCATGTTCGAGGCGTAGAGAGTCCCTCAGAACATTTTATCTCTGCCCGCAGCAGGCGACGTGGCTGTGTGATGTGTATAAGTCAGGATAGATATGCTACACACGCGAGGAGAAAGAATGGGAGCAGCGCAGGCTCTCAGTGTGCTACCGTGGTTGAGGTGCGCGCCGTTCGCAAGTCCGCCGAGCTGACTGGGGTGGCGCCTGCAACAAAATTTCTCTGCCGGAACTTCGCAGACTTCTTCACCCTCGCATTTTCGCTCCTATTGCATCCAGGTTTTCGAAAACACATCTTACATCTTTCGAGCTGATCCCAAACATGCACGCCATTGCTGTAAAAGTTTGATCCAGTCTATGATGGGGTGACAGGGCGTTATTACCGCTGGGCCTCTCCAGGTCGTATAGTTGGGTATATTAACCATAAATTTGGTCACTCTTCCATGGAAACATCCAAAGGCACTTTGGGTAAGCAATCACCACACAAAGAAGAACCACGAACAGTCGCTAACAAAGATTAGCGGAGTGGTTAACGCGTTGGCCTGCTATAGATCTCACGGTCTAAGTCAGCCAATTCCTTCGGGAGCGTGTGTTCGAATCACACAGGTGTCGCTCGTAACATTCTTTTTGCTTTTCGTCACGACTGGCAACAAACCTGAGCACAGCGCCGATCGTAGTATCGTTCTTACTATTCCGATGCCCTGGGACATTCTCCTCGCCGCGCTCAAGGCCTTTTGTTTTGCCAACGCGTCAAGTTGTGAATAAGAAGAGCCTGACCACAGGTAGAAGTAATTTAATGATTATCGAAGACGAGTCGCTTGCTGTAGATCTCACGTATGACACACGCGAATACCTTCTCAATTGATAGGTTTATTAATGATGCAGAAATTGTCTGCATGACCTGAGTGTAGATCATGTAGCAAGTGTAGATTGTTGATCTTACAGTTCTGCGGCCTTCCGGCGTATGTTACAATGGGGTATCATATTTCGACTTAAAGCCTATCTCCAACATCTTCCCACTTAATATCATACCCGCCATCATCCCTCTTCTCCGACCTGCCTTTCCTTTTTGACTCCGCAACCGGCACCAGCGGGATCCCATCCTCCCTTCTGACTCTCGCCCTCTTCTCACTCTGCCGCTTCTTGTTCTGCTCTACCCACTCCGCCCTTTTCAGATCGCGGGGTTTCCTATTCGCCAAACTCCTCGTGAGCTTCCCCTCCTTCTCTTCAATCAATTCCCTCGTCACGCCCGGCACAACAATCGCAGCAATGTCCTTAGCGCCGAGATGGATCTTCTTGTATCGCACGCGCCACGTGCACACATTCTTATGGTGCCCGAAGTAATGGCGCGACACGTCGAGGGTGGGGAAACCGACGAAGCTCTGCATGCCTGTTTCGGCATTGACGCGGAATACGGCGGGGAGATTGTTGATGCGGAGGTCGGCGGTTGTGAGGAGGGAGAGCGCGGTGAAGGCGCGGCTGGAGGTCTTGTTCTGGGTATCCTTCGCGCGCAAGAGGTTGTAATCATCCTTCGTGAAGAGGCGGAGAAGGAGTGAGTCGGTGCTGTTGTTTTTGATGCTGATCCACCACCGGTTGTCAAAGAGGCGGAAGGCGCTGTGAGCTGGCTGACTTGGAGCAGAAGAGTCGGTTTGGGTGATTGGGACGATGTGGGAAGGTGGGTAGGCAATGCTTTCCGAGGTCCCTGGGCGGTTTTCTTTGGGCTGGCGTGTGAGATACCAGTCCATGTTGTTCTGGCTTCTCTTGCCCTCTTCTTCCACGGCGCCTATCGAGCCGGCCCACTTGCGCCACCATACACCATAGACACAATAGCTGAAATTGCTACTGCGGGTGCCAGTGAGATCAGTCTCTTCCAGATCCTGGAACTCGGGCCAGATGTTTCCAACGCTGGCTGCGAGCTCGGCAAGTGGTGGGTCTTCTCGCGGCGAGACTAGTTGTGCGACTCGCGCCAGAAGGTAAGTCGCACTGTTCCTGACGTAAATCAGATCAGATTGAGTGATCGCTTGAGTTGGTTTTCTTGTATACAGAAGGTGGGTGATCAGTCGGCGGAACGAGGGGAATCGGACAAGCAGCGAGCCGGCTTGGATATCCAACTGAATCTTGCACTCATGAAAGAGCCGCTCTGCTTCTTCCTTGTGCTCAGCAACGCGTTGCTGCATGTGGCTGGAGACATCCACGAGTGACTGTATGCTCAACGCAGCAGGCAGCTTGTGATGCTTCATCATGTGGCGGACTGCGTTGCGCGATGTGTATGTCTGCAGAAGATTCGTCTTATCCTCTGCCCAAGCAACATCGCGGTGTTTGCATGTAGCAAGGAGACGCGCCTTTGAGAAGTCAAGTAAAGGCCTCAAAATCCTCACGCCACCGCTCTCGACTGGGAATGGCAGGTGCTCCAGGTAGCGGTTTTCGAAACTGCTGTGCACCACTCCACTATGCGATATCCCGTGCAGACCATGACACTCGGGGATCCATTCGGTGGGTTTCATCGCCTGCAGACCGAGGCGTAGACGGCCGCTTGCAAAGCGCATCAGGACCGTCTCTGCCTGGTCATCCGCATGATGCGCAACCATCAAACTATGAATGCCCGCATTGTGGCAGGCTCGACCGAGAGCTTGGTAGCGGAGTGTACGTGCGTCTGTTTCGAAGCGCTTGTGATCGAGAGGATCGAAGTCGGCGGGCCAGGAAAGAGGCAAGACTGAAGCTTCCATGCCAACTGTGATGTATTAGCATGGCCTTCTGAACCAGAGGCTACACTTGAATCCCTACACTTCCTTCGGCACTGCTCTGCCACCCATTCCGCCTCCTCAGAGCTCCCCTGGCGCACCTTGTGGTCCACGATGAACGCATGCGCCAGACTGCGATAATTACGCGCAGCCGTGAGCTCAGCATACAACGCGGCCAGAGCCATCGAGTCAACGCCGCCACTTATAGCCAGGCCCAACTTCCGCCGGCCACTCTCGAGGTGCCATCTGTCCCAGCCGGTCTTTAGCAGCGCGGCTTCGAACTCATTGCTCGTGATCGGCAGGCTCGCCTGCTCGCGGTACCACCTGTTGCGCCATGCCGCAGCAGAGGAGGCTTTCCTCAAGCGGATGACATTGCTTCTCCACATAAACGTCGCATCAAAGTATGCCTACACCGGAACGAACAGAACAAGACACGTCAAAAGTAGAGCGACTGAATTTGGCAATGCGCGAAGGACGCGCTTGATCCGAGGTCGAGCAGTCGGCGTGCACGGTTCGCCGAAATTTCTAGAGCTTCAGCTTTCCTCATTAGCGTCCGACTTCCGCATCCTCAATCCTCACCCCAAACAACTTCACTTCTCGAGATACCCCGTTTCATCCCATTCTAATCACAATGGTACGTCGTCCCTGTCCGCCTGACAAATCAATGCCATCAGTTCCTCATGCGCACGAACAACGCGCTCGAGCATCAACACCAGCACCCCGATACTGACACCACCCAGTCCGCACTCAAGTCCATCCGCTCCCTCGCGCCCCTCCTCGACCGCGTGCTCGTGCAGCGCATCAAGCCCGAAGCCAAGACAGCCACAGGCATCTTCCTGCCCGAGACAGCCGTGAAGGAGCTGAACGAAGCCAAGGTGCTGGCCGTCGGCCCCGGCGCCTTCGACAAGAGCGGCAACCGCGTGCAAGTCAGCGTGCAGCCGGGCGACAAGGTGCTGATCCCGCAGTTTGGCGGCAGCCCGATCAAGGTCGGTGAGGAGGAGTACAGTCTGTTCAGGGACCATGAGTAAGTTACACTACCATTGCAGGAGGTGAGTTGGGAAGTGGAACGAGGACTGACGATGAACAGGCTCCTGGCTAAGATCAACGAGTAAGCGCTTCGCTCGATCCTCCACCGCAGAGAAGAGACGAGAAGCGTACGATGTATCGATAATGTATCAACACCGCCCATGACAAACTGCACGTCCGCATCCGCCGGCGTTTTGGCTTTATCTGAAAACCTGGGCTCTTGTATTGAAAGAAAGCGACATGTGTAATTACTATCGAAGGAAGGGCAGAGGACGTGTCATGAAGTAAAGAGAAGAATAAGATCTCCGCTATCTGGCTGCAATTACAAACGCTGGGAAGCGCATTCGCAGTGCTTGTGATTTACGTGCTCGGCCAAGAAAGACTCGCACACTGTCAACGCCGTCAGACACACCGCTGCCCACGCGTCACTTAAAGCTATTACCACGCTGAGTTCCCACCCCCAGCACCCCACTGCCTCCCACCACCCTGACCCTGGCTCTGGCCCTGATCGTACTGATACCCCTGGCTCGGATTCTGATAACTCTCGTACCCCTGCTGATACCCCGTCGGCACACTATAACTCGGCTCATGCACCTGTCCACTCGCAAACTGGCTGTCTCCCCATCCGTACCCGCCCGTCGGGACAGCATTCGCGTGCTCCGCAGGCGCCTGGTACGGCCGACTGCCATCGTAGCTGCTCTGGTACGGCTGGAACGTACCCCACTGCGAGGGCTGCGGCGAGGGGGAGGGTTGATACGCTTGACCTGGCGGGGCGGAGAAGTCGCCCTCGGGACCGTCGCGTTTGCCGAAGGAGGAGAATGCGCTGCCTAGGCCGCCGGGAAGTGAAGAGGCCAGACTGCCGAGCAGACCTCCTCCTCCGGAAGAGGAGGGCGTGTGGCTGGCGTTGAAGTTGTAGTTGCTCCCTGCGCCGTGGGAATGTCCGCCATGCGCATGACCTCCGCCGGAGAACTGGCCCAGGCCCGCAGCGCCGTGGCCCGCGTGGTCGTCGCCGCCCTTGTGGTTGCGGCCGGCCTTGACGGACTCGGAGGAGAGGATGTCGTTCAGGTCTTTGCCGTGGTAATTGCGCGCCCAGTCCTGCACCACGCGGTACATGTTGTTGTGGATTTCGGAGCGCGAGTCGCGCAGCGCGGGGTGGTGGAACACGCTTACGCAGTCGTTGAGGACTTGGTCCACGGGCACGTCCGGGTGGTCGAAAGCGTACATAACACGTGGGACGACGTATTGCAGGATCTGGACTGCGACTTGGCCGGCGGGCTCGTTGAGGATGTTGGAGAAGTGGTCTTTGGAGAGCATGGAGTGCGTGGGGTCGGTAGAGGTTGGATTGTTCCAGACGTCGAACTGGTGCTTGGCTGAGGACTCGAGAACCGCGGAGGATCCGGTCTTGAGTTGTGCGGAGGCAGTCTTGATGATGGGGAGGACGAAAGGTGCGAGGAGCGACAGTACAAACAATGTCACACGCTCCGTGATGGTGTCGATCAGCTTCTCGAGTCCTGGGATCTTGGAGACGATCTCGGAGATGCTGCGAACCACCTTGTCCCTGAAGACTAGGATGGGGTAGATCTTGGGAATGACAGTGGCTGGGTCAGTGTTTGTGCCCGGGATGTTGGGGCCAGGAGGACCACCGACAGATCCTGGTGGTGCATCGAAGGTAGGCGGGGCTCCACCAAACTGATCTTGTCCACCAGCCCTCGAGCCGAAGTCATCATAACCTCCAGAGCGGTAACCGTGTCCAGCATTGGCCGAGGCTTGAGCGTCAGACGAAGCCTGCAACGATTGTGCTTCCTGAATGAGGCCGCCGGTGCCAGGTACCTTAGAAAGTACGTC